TTTTTTTTTTTTAACTCCCTTCTAATAACTAGATTCCCAACACAATGACGAATTTTATTTATTTATTTACTTAGTTAGTTAGTTAATCCTTGCCTGAGGATATTTTTCCATTGTTGTTGTTTTTTTTTTAGGGAGAGTGGAAGACAGAGGGAAAGGCAGAGAGAAACATAAATCGATGTGAGAGAAACACATCGATTGGTTGCCTCCTGCACAAGCCCCAACCGGGGCCGGGGCTGGGAAGGAGCCTGCAACCAAGGGATGTGCCCTTGACTGGAATGGAACCCAGGAGGCCGACGCTCTATCCACTGAGACAAACCGGCTAGAGCTGGAAATAGGGCTTTGAAAACCCAAGGATATAATTTCACAGTAATAAAAATCACTCATCCTTCTGTGCAAGTCTCAGAAAATTCTTTTTCTTGAGATATCATAAGGACCTCACCCAGACACTCAGTGGGGAAAGAGATACTTCACTTTCATCGTTAACACTTTGAATGTACCTATGATGGCCAATTTCTACCATAAATGTCCAAAATTTTAATTAGTCCAGTCCCTCGGCCAGTCAGTGCTTGTTTTCATGCCTCTTCTCTGTGAGCTATTTGGAACTTAAGTAGGGACATAAGTATTTTCTGAGATCTAGGTTGATGCTTCCCAAGTGGTAGTTAATCCTAAATCCCAGACCCATCCCCTATGAAAGAATGTATTTTAACATTCGTTTGAATGGAGCAGGGATCCCAATTTGCATAACCTTTTGTGGCTTGGTATTAGGAGATGTAAGCCAGAGTGAACTGGGAATGCCTGCTTCCTAAAGGATTTCAAGTTTAAATTTCTTTAAAATGTTACTCTAGTTAAACAAAACACAGTTGACCCTCAAAGCCACCAGTTTTCCACACAAGTAGTAGGACTAAAAGTAGATCTGTTTTCCAAGTGTGAAGAAGAGAGTGTAATCCACTTTTTTTGTTGTTTGCTTTAATCCAGAAAGAAACCAAAGTTATGTAGGCATTTTGCAAGAAGAAATCTTTAGAGAACCTAAGCAATCAAAAGATGTATAATCTATAGCTTGAAGTGAAGGGAGGAAGGAAGGGAGGGAGGGAGGGGCCAAAAATAGGACCTTCGGAAAATATAGCTACTTGGAATTAGTATCAGAGAAAGGTGGCACCAAGTCATTGTTTATAAATAAAGTTGTTAATTTAAATAATGATTTTATCACATAATCTCACTCATAGAGAATCTAATTAACTGATGAACGGAGTGGATCCGGTAAAGTTGTTAATTTAAATAATGATTTTATCACATGATCTCACTCATAGAGAATCTAATTAACAAAATAAACTGATGAACGGAGTGGATCCGGAAGCATGGAACAGAGTCTTGGAGGGAAGGCGGAGGAGGGTGGATGGGTAGGAGGTAATCATCCAAAGATCTTGTATTCATATATGCATAACCCATGGACACAGACATTGGGGTGGTGAGGGTGGGTGGCCGGGGGGATGTTGAGGGTCAATGCGGGGAAAGAGGGACATACATAATACTTTCAACAATAAAGGTAAATAAATAAATAATTCTAAGGCATTATGAAAAACTTGTTCATTTTCCCTGAGAATGGAAAGTGTTACTGCATTATAGAAACATTTACATCCATTTTTTAAAATTCACTATTAAAATGTGTACTTCATGCCGAAACCGGTTAGGCTCAGTGGATAGAGCGTCGGCCTGCGGACTGAAAGGTCCCAGGTTCGATTCTGGTTGAGGGCATGTACCTTGGTTGCGGGCACATCCGCGGTGGGAGATGTGCAGGAGGCAGCTGATCAATGTTTCTCTCTCATCGATGTTTCTAACTCTCTATCTCTCTCCCTTCCTCTCTGTAAAAAATCAATAAAATATATATTTTTTTAAAAATGTGTACTTCATGTATGCTTCAGTTATTTAGTTATTGAGAAGATTGTCCAAATTGGAATTCTGATGTCTCAATGATGATCTAGATATTTTCTTTTTTTAAAAATATATTTTATTGATTTTTTACAGAGAGGAAGGGAGAGAGATAGAGAGTTAGAAACATCGATGAGAGAGAAACATTGATCAGCTGCCTCCTGCACATCTCCCACTGGGGATGTGCCCGCAACCCAGGCACATGCCCTTGACCGGCATCGAACCTGGGACCCTTCAGTCCGTAGGCCGACGCTCTATCCACTGAGCCAAACCAGTTCCGGCTAGATATTTTCTTGATGAAAGGGCTACTTGGTGTTTGTCTTTTAGAAACATGTCCTCTTTTCTTTTTTTTAAATATATTTTTATTGATTTCAGAAAGGAAGGGAGAGGGAGAAAGAGAGAGAGAAACATAAATGATGAGAGAGAATCATTGATCAGCTGCCTCCTTCAACCCTGGCAGGTGCCCTTGACCGGAATCGAACCCGGGACCTTTCAGTCTACAGGTTGATGCTCTATCCACTGAGCTAAACTGGCGAGGCCGAAACATGTCTTTTTTAAATTGTGCAACATAAATACACATCTTTGGATTTAATTTGTCTTTTATAATTATATTAGATTTATCTATTTTAATAGTTATAGGGAAGAAATGTATTAAAAACTTAAGCTAAAAAGAGAAAAGTTGGATGAGATGAATGTATTGAAGTCATATGAAGTTGCAGGCATTAATTTCTCTTTATGAGTTGGTTTCTTTATAGTTGGAATTTTAGAAAATAATTTAGAAATCACATAAACCTAATGAATCTGTTTTGTTTTCTAAATAATGTAGTTTTTTTTTGGTGGATATTGCTACCATTGTCTTGAATTATAAGAGGCCAGGGTTTGCTTCTCTTTATTTTCATTTTTAGCTTGAATTTGACATTTATGTATGAAAAATTGTAAACTAATATTTTGCTTCTTCTCAACTCTTAAAACAGCCCAGCGATCTGCTCAAGAACTTCCTCATATTGAGAAGTACAGTATCAACAGTTGTTCTGTAAATGGAGGTCATGAAATGATTGTGACTGGATCTAATTTTCTTCCAGAATCGAAAATCATTTTTCTTGAAAAAGGACAAGGTAAATAATATAAGATTTGAGTTGATTGACCTCAGACTGAGAGGCAAAAGGGTGAAATGAATTACTCATATGTTTCACTGACATTAAACACAAAATAGTTTTTTTAAAGCTACAGGTATCATTTTATGCAGATTTTATTGTAAATCAAATGTTTATTAAATTTTCATATAAATGTTAAGTTTTTCTTTAAAGATGTTTCAAAAGTAGAAGAATGCCCTAGTAGTTTTACTCCTAGTTTTATATATGTACTCAAGAGAATTGAAAGCATATGTCACACAGAAATTTGGACATAAATGCTTATAGCAGCATTATTCATAATAGCCAAAAAATGGAAACAACCAGTGCTCATCAACTTATAAATGGATAAACCTGTGGTATATTCATACAATGATGGAATATTATTCAGCCATTAAAAAGAATAAAGTACTGATTCATGCTACAACATTGATGAACCTTGAAAATATTGTGTTAAGTGAAAGAAGCCAGTACAGAATATCCAGAATAAGCAATTTATAGAGACTGGAAAGTAGATTAGTGGTTGTAAGAGGTTGGAGGGAGGTGTCAGTTGGGAGTAACTAATGGGCATGGGGTTTCTAAAATTAGAGGTGATGGTTGTAGAGCTTTGTGAATATAAAAACCTCTGGATTGTATATTTTAAAAGGGTGAATTTTATGTACACTTTCATGATTATATCTTTACTAGTAGCCCTGCACACGAATCCATGCACCAGTAGGTTGCTGCCACCCTCCTGTAGCTCTCTGCCCACTACCCCACCGTCCTGTAGCTCCCCCCATCCCGCCTCATAGCTTGTTGCCCTGCACTATCCTGTAGCTCTCTGCCACCCACTTGTAGCCAGTAGGTCACTGCTGCCCTCCTGTAGCTCCCCCCTGATGCTCAACTAACTGAGTCACTCCCTCCCCCCTCCTCCCTCACCCCCTCATAGCTTGTTGCCCTGCCCTCTCCTATAGCTCTCTGCCACCCGCTTGTATCCAGTAGGTTGCTGCTGTCCTCCTGTAGCTACCCCTGCCCTCCTCTTCCCTCCCCCGTCCTCCCTTGCCCCCTCATAGCTTGCTGCCCTGCCCCCTCTTATAGCTCTCCGCAGCCCACCCTCCTGCTGATCCATGATCTGGTCTCCATGATCTGGTCATGACACCCTTGGTCATTATGCCTCAGGGTGTAATGGTTAATTAGCATATTCCTCTCTTACTATATAGGATTTTTATTTATTTATTTTTAGAGAGAGAGAGAGAGAGAGAAACATTGATTTGTTGTTCCACTTATTTATGCATTCTTTGGTTGTTTCTTGTATGTGCCTTGACTGGAAATCAAACCAGCAACCTTTCGGTGCACAGGATGATGCTCAACTAACTGAGTCACTCTGGCTAGGCAAGAGGTTTTGATTTAAATTGAATCATGTTACATGGTGGCAGTTAACTGAGATTGCAGTTGTGAACATGTAACTCCCGTTCTGAAAGCACCTTATGTGATCTCTTCATTTTTCAGGCTCCTAATGTGGCATTCAGGCCACAATCTGTTGCCGATCTTTCTAGCTTCATTTTTTACTGCTCCTTGCCTTAGACTTTGTACTCCACCAACACAGCTGCTTATGGTTCCCTGTATCTTGTGGTTTCTTGTCACCTAGCTTTTGCTCTTTGGCCTAGACTACCCTCCTCTTCACCCCCTCTCCCCCACACACACACATCATCTGAATTCCACCTTATATTTAAACCTTAATTCAAGAGCTCTTCAGGAAGCCTTTCTTGTCCCATATTTCCACCCCAAGTCTAGGATAAGGACCCTGACCTTGGTACTCTTGGTACTTCCAGAATGCATTTTTATTAGTGTAACCACCACATTTTCTTATAGTGAACTATTTGTATTTGCCTTTTATCCACAGACTGAAGACAGGGTATCCTATCTCCATTGTCTCAATAACCCAAAGTACCTGGCACAGGAACCCAGCAAATGATAGCTGAACTGAGCTATAGTTTTAAGTAGGCGTAGGATTTGTCTGTAGTGTCTCTTGTGCACAAAGATAGCCATTACCTAGTTACTGGACTGGAAAATGATAATCACAATCTGGAAGGCATTTGATTAAGTCTCTCCTAATATCTTCATAGACCAGATGAAGTCATGCTGGATATGAAGATATTTGTATAGGTTAGTCACTGAGTAAATGCCCATGACATAAGAAGAATGCTTTAGAACAGCTGTTCATCAGATTGGAGTGAGAGCACTAGTAGTAGGTGGGGCTCTCCCCAGGTGAACAAGTCACTTTGGATGAAAGGACAGAAAATATGCTGGCCACATCTTCAGGTGACATAAATCTGGAAAGTATAGAAACCTATTTTAGAAGACCATCAGTACCTAAAAAGATCTTGACAAACCAAGCGATCTAAGGAAATGAAGTCTGGTAGGGAGAAATTAATGTAACAAAGGTTGGGGAAGAACCCCAGATATGCACGTGCAGTGTGGGAGCTTGAGCTTGGCAATAGGAAATGCGGCAGATTGAGGGACACTTGCTGACTAAGTAAGTGTAAGAGAACATGGTGCAGCTGCCTCAGAAAACTTACTAACTCTCCCTACATAAGGTTGGCAAGAGCCTTGTTACTGTCTACAGTGCTGGGTCATTTCTCCCTTGGACTATTCAGTCCTGGGCCTGTGCATTTGGAGGGAGCTGGTCACATTGGAGGAATGTTCAAAGAAGAGTGATCAAAAAGCTGAACTGTTGTATAAGGGATAGATGCAGAATTAGGGATGCTAACCAGGAGAAGAGACACAGGCAAACATAGCTGCTTTTTTTTTTTAATATATTTTATTGATTTTTCACAGAGAGGAAGGGAGAGAGATAGAGAGCTAGAAACATCGATGGGAGAGAAACATCGATCAGCCGCCTCCTGCACATCTCCTACTGGGGATGTGCCCGCAACCCAGGCACATGCCCCTGACCGGAATCGAACCTGGGACCCTTCAGTCCGCAGGCTGACGCTCCATCCACTGAGCCAAACCGGTTTCGGCCATAGCTGCTTTTAAACATCTGAAATCTTGTCTCACAGAGAAGCACTCAAGATTGGTTGGGTTGGGTTGGATATTGTAGAGATAGATTTAATCTATCACAAAGAGCTTTCCAGTAGCAAAGATTTATTATCCAAAGATGAAATGGGTTACTTGGTGAGAGTGAATTTTCCGTTAGTTAAGGCATACATGCAGAAGTTGGCCTCTTGGTGAAGATGCTCTCACAGGATTTTCAGATATCACTTAGTAGAATAAACTCTCTGCAGCCTGCTAACTCAGGAAGCCCAAGATCTTTCTTCCCATAGGTACACATTTTATATCCATAATGGAAGTTAGTGAGAAGCAGATTCCCTTTGCCAATAAATTTGTGATAGTAAATACATTAGATTTTGTTTATTATATGTTTTGTGACTTGAATTACTTTTAACTGTAAATTGTTTCTTTCAACAGATGGACGACCTCAATGGGAGGTAGAAGGGAAAATAATCAGGGAAAAATGTCAAGGGGTAAGAAATTTACCTTATTTCTTTAGAAATATTTTAGAAGCTTAATGAGAAAATTGGATAATGCTGCTTATGGTATAGATGAGAAGTCTTTTATCTGTTAAGTAATAGAAAAGTAAATATTTAGAAATTTGGGTCTGAGCTAGATACTTTCTGATATTAAAGTTAAAGTTCAGGCAAGAGAATTGGTGTCTTCCCCTTTTTTGTGTATAGGAAAAGTAAAATTAGAAATGAAAAATTATTAGAAGTTTGTTAGTGAAGTTACATTGATTTATTTCTCTGAATTCAGTATTAGTGAAGAAATAAAACAAATTCAGTAAAGACTATGTATGGTGGGCAAAATTTAGGAGGAAGACAAGCCCTCATTGGGTTTGTGTATTTAGCACACTATTCCCAACTGCTCAGCATCAAGACATTCAAGATTCAACACATAGCTGTGGTTCCTTCCTGGTTGGAATAGCGACAGAATCTTCTCTGGGATAGAGAATACCACTTCTCACAGTGCTCTCTCTCCAAAGACCTTCAAGAAATTAGGTTAAGGATAGCATTGGTTTGGAGCCAAAGGTTTCACTCTGCTTGTGTAAAATTCTTTTTTATAGGGATATAAGTTTTGTGTATTGCCAATTTAAAACATTTTGAATATAAAATTTAAGATAAGAAAACTAAACTATAATATAACTTGGGAAATAGTAAACTTGATTAAAAACCAGAATGGGCCCTGGCCAGTGTTGGTCAATGGTTAGAGTGTTGGCCCAAACGCTGAAGGGTCACAGGTTTGATTTTTGGTCAGGGGCACCTACCTAGGTTGCAGGTTCGATCCCTAGCCCCAATTGGGGCACATGCAGGAGGCAACCATTTCATGTGTCTCTCTCACCTTGATGCGTCTCTCTCATCATCGATCCTTACTCTCTCTCTCCCCCCTTCCTCCCTCCCTCCATCCCTCCTTTTTACCCTCTCTCTCTAAAAATCAGTGGGAAAAAATATCCTCAGGTGAGGATTAACAAATAAACAAGAAAAGAATAGAATAGGTCTTAGTCGGGCAGCTCAGTTGGTTGGAGCATCATCCTGTACACCAAAAGGCTGCAGATTCAATTCCTGGTCAGAGCACATCTCTAGGTTGCAGGTTCAATCCCCAGTCAAGGCACATACTAGTACAGGAGGCAACCGTCCATGTTTCTCTCACATCAATGTTTCTATTACTTCGATGTTTCTCTCTCCCTCTCTCTCTAAAAATCAATAAAACATATCCTCAGGTGAAGATTACAAAACAAAAAAAAACAGAACAGGCTTCCAGTTAAGATGTATAGTAACATATAATATTCAGTAGAACAAAGTATTTCACTGCACAGTATGTAAGACTTTTTATTTCTGCTACAACTAGAAACCAAATTGGGTCAGTGAAAAACAATTTTTCCTATAATGGTTTACTTTAAAGAGCTTATCTCTTTAAAGTGAAGTATCCATAGAATAAATCTCCAGACCTGATCAGCTGATGCAGAATGATCTGTGGTGGAAGGGCTTGGGTAGATAACACTCAGGAGTGTTGCTGAGCTTAGCGGGTGCATTTCATTTTTAGTTCTGAAGGTAACACAATCTTGCTCTCCATGCTCCTTAGGCTCACATTGTCCTTGAAGTTCCTCCATATCATAACCCAGCAGTTACAGCTGCAGTGCAGGTGCACTTTTATCTTTGCAATGGCAAGAGGAAAAAAAGCCAGTCTCAACGTTTTACTTACACACCAGGTAAGAGGAGTTGTGATGGATTGCTACAGATCTTTCTTTCATAATGAAGAAATAGTTATCCAGTGAATTCTATATTAGGATGTTCAGGGGAAGGTGGTTTGTAATCAATAAAAATCCCAACATATGCCGAAACCGGTTTGGCTCAGTGGATAGAGCGTCGGCCTGTGGACTGAGGGGTCCCGGGTTCGATTCCGGTCAAGGGCATGTACCTGGGTTGCGGGCACATCCCCGGTGGGAGATGTGCAGGAGGCGGTTGATCGATGTTTCTCTCCCATCAATGTTTCTAACTCTCTATCTCTCTCCCTTCCTCTCTGTAAAAATCAATAAAATATATATTAAAAAAAATAAAATAAAAAAAAATCCCAACATATGTCTAATCTCTAAAACTTGTGTTGACCTAAAATATTAGATGTGATATCAATTGCTATTTTGTAGTCATTTTTATAAGGAAATTAGAAGTTTGAATATAGATTTGAAGTCTGTTTTTCAAAAGCTACCAAAATCACCAGTACTACAGGAAGGGCAGGTGTTTGTGAATACGTGTGA